TTGACTGCACAGTATTAAAATTATTAGCATCCTTCAACCTATTAAGACAAAAGCAAAAAGCAGGGCTGTTCTTCCATTAAAGAATATCTTTACCACTCTTCTAAAAGAAGAGCCCTTCACAATTCAACTAGAATTGAATTAAGTGTATGTAGTGTATTGACAGTTATTATTTGGACCATAGGGCACTATATACTGCCTTCTAGAGATCTGTGTTTATCTCCAGTGCCCTTTAATATTTCATTTAGACATATTTTTAAAGTTTGTCATAATAAAAAGGAAATACAACTCAGAAGTTCAAAATAATACAGGACTTGGAAATTACTTTTACTTTATTTGTAGTAGTAAAAATTAATGGTAGCGATACACATTTTTCAATCGGGAGAGGTTTATCTGTATCTTCATATAAACTTACACAGTTCTTTTTTGGCTGTTTTAAAAATGAGCTTTCTGAACAGAGGTGAAGAATTTCTTGTCTTTAATTTTGTAAACTCAGGCTTATACATAGCCTCTTAGCACAATTTTACAGAAAAAAGTCATACTTAATCTGTGATATTACTTTAAGGAATATTTATTTTTTATATCTCTGAAATTTTGTTTGCTGTTATCATATTGTATTTTTTTCAAATTTAATAGATGTTACCTTCATAATTCAACTAGAATTGAATTAAGTACAAATAGTATATTGATGGTTGTTTTATTATAAATAGAGAGGTACATTTATTAAGGGCAAAGGATTCTATCTTCTCTTTTGATGCCTTTCCTTTGCATAGTTTCCAATCTAGAATGACTGAGTAATCAATATTCATTGAATAAATGAGCTTCCTAAAAAGTTTATTAATTGACAACAGTATTTATGAACAAGCTATATGTAGCCATTAATTCTTTTCATTAGAGTGATACTTGAAAAGTAATAACGAATACATTTTCTTATTTTAATTTTAATATATGATTTTAATTGTCTCCACCTTATAATTTTTTAAAATAAAATGTTACATTTAAAAATACTAGCAAAGGGTGGTGCCTATGGCTCAAAGGAGTAGGGCACCAGCCCCATACGCCAAAGGTGGCGAGTTCAAACACAGCCCCGGGCAAAAAACGATAAAAATAAAAAATAAAAAGTGCTGGCAAATAGTTATGTAGATCATCTTTTCACTGTTTTTTTTTTTTTTTGTGGTTTGGAGATGAGGAAAAAGAAGACCATAAAAAGTAAATTAAATATTTGCAAATTTAAATCTAATGCTAGACATTGAAATTTAAATTTTAATAGCTATGTGTATACTTTAATAATGCTGTGGAAATACAACAATCTAAAATGCTAGTAAAGTGAATATTTTCAAGATTAAAAAAATGATGGAATCACTCTCACAACCCATGTATGAGTGCAAATGACTGTGACACACAGAAGAATGGAGAATGACAAAATTCAAGAGAATGTGGGAGAGATCTAGACATGTACCAAAACACACCCAGCCAGCATCTTACATGGGGTTCCAGGGCAGTTATTCTTTTCTTTCTCCTTTCTGAAATGCTCTTTGAAAGTAAAAACAAGCAAAAGAAACAAAAGCTCCAGCAGGTAATCAAGGATATGCATAAATAAGCAAGGAAGAGCCACACTCTAAAATAGAGCTGAATTCTATCACCTCCCCTCCCCCTTTCAAAATATAAGTGAAAAGAAAAGGAAGAAAGGGAAACTTACACCTGCTCTCAGCTTTTTAATATGGAAGAGCTTTAATATGGAACATTTCTGAAATTATCTTTCATTTTAATCTTTTGTCTTTATGCTATTTTTTAAAAATTCTTAAAAATCTAGAAGTTCTATCAAGGAATTTCTACCTAGTACTGTTCTCCCCCTTATACAGTCTTCAGAGGAAAGCACATATGAGCTTCAATTTTACCTAACACTTAAGTATTAAACAGAAAGTATATGGTGCATAACATTTTCACAAATACATCCATGCATCCCTACTTTTTACTGTTTGTAAATATCACTCACCAGCATCAACAGAATAATCTCTCTTTTTTTTTTCCCTGATCTTATTTTCTCCACAACAGGTTTCCATGACAACTTATATTTGAATTTTTATAAATTTCTATTTTTTGAATAGTATTCTTAAGGAGAAGAACTCAAGAGTATAAAACATAAACTTCTTCACTAAATTAACTGGAACAATTTAGATCTCTCAAATATACATGGTCACTTCATAAATTAAAAGTCCGAAGAGACAAGTCAACAATAATAAAGGCAAAACTGAAGTGTCACAAAATTCAATTATCCTTTGCCTATCACTGTTATTTTAGTCTGCTATTTAGGTAATAAAAGTTAGAAATATAACATCATTATGCAGTCAAGCTGATCTCTTCAATAGTAAGAAAGGAAAATCATGAAACATGTAAAAGAAGTTTAAAAAATTCACACATTTAAAATTTTTCATCTCAAGTAATTCAATAAAAGAACTAATGATAAAAAGAAAGACTGTATGTAAAAGTATAAACACTTAACTTCTATTAAGAATGAGATCCACGGCAGTGAGAGGACAAATGAAGCAAATCATTTGACCACTGATGTACGTTTCCTGCAATTGTGCCCTTGAAAAATGTAATTACATCCTGTGACCATCTGATGTGACTACTTATCAAACTAGTTAGATAACGTTAAGTCAGGCCATCATCTGAACTGAAAGTGTTCATATAAAAATATTAAATCACTTTTAAATAGAATGGTGACTTCCGATTACTCTTTTTTAGGCAACCCCCAGTAACTTGAAAAGAGAGTTCCCTGAAGGCAAGGCCCCCAAAAGACAGCAAAACATTTAGCCCTGACCAGTCAATAAAAATGGAAAGTTCACAGTCTTCCTTTTATGGAGTTAATTCAAATCCTGTGTTTTTATTCTATTTTTGGATGGTGGAAGGTAAAAATTCTAGGAGCCAAAGTCCTGGAACATATGTATTTAAAAAGTGACAGATGATCTTTCAAAGTTAGAATTCTAGTGACTGTCTCATGCTGCATTAAATCTCAAGAGCCATTTGAGCTAGAAAGTCAGTTATGATCAGTGGTTTTGGTAGACAAGGTCTGAGGAGGGTGTCATGAGACATCTAGAATAATTTTGGCTTTGTTATGAACTTGGAGTATGACCTTGGCCACCACTTGGCATCAGCAGTCTTCCTTTGCCTCACCTTCTTAGCTGATTCTGTTTCTACTTGCTCCTTGACTTGTGTTAATCTTTAGTGTTTCTGTGTTCTTTCCTGGCCTAAAAAGGATGCAAATCAAATCCTCAATATTATTACAATGAAATTTTTAGTAATATTAAAAAGAAAAACACAATTTTTAAGTCAATAGTTTACTCTTTTCACCAATAATCAATAGCACCAAATTTCATAGCAATGATAAAAGTTGAACATCTTTTAAAAGTTTTTGCTTTGTGATCTGGCCTGCAATAAAATGTATTATGGATCACACAGAAGGATGATAAAACCTTCTGTCTTTGTTGTGCATGATCTGGAAAAAGAAAAATCACATGATGAGCCTAAAAACAAAGTCAGATCTTTTAGCCACCAAGTGGAAAGAGCTTTATGTCACTCAGCTGGAATAGTCATGAGCCTGTGATTTAATTTAAATAAATATGTACTTTTTATTTCAGAATAACAACTCTTGTCAAATTTACAGAATGATCTTAACAGATAGATTTCAAAGTTGAAGTTATTATCAACTCTGTTTCAACATGTGAATGTGGACATTCCAGAATTTATGTTTGTATTTAAATCCTGACCCAAAAGTGTAGCAATGCTTTAAATTGTCTCTTTCATATTCTATGAAACAGATTTCCAAAGTGGTATCAAAAACACATCTTCTGACAAGTTAGTAGATAGACAGCTGCATCATATCTCAGATGCAGACGCTTTTAACATACAAAGGAAGAAAATAAAGAGGAGAGAGCCACTGTTAAGTTGGGAGAATTCCCGTTCTTCCCAGGGGGTGACTTATCTGGGTGTTAGAAGTTGCCCAGACACTCACAGTTGTCTAAATGCAACACTTTGCTCTCATATATAATTAAAAAGCATATAATTTTTGGTTATTTGTATTTCTTTTATTTCATTTAAACTGGTTACTTTTATAAGTCCCCTCATGGCATTTGAAAAATTAATTGGGAGTGCCAAACACTAAATTTAAGCTATCACTTCAACTAGAAATCAAAAACAAAAATGGAAGCTAGGGTCACAAGATAAAAAGTAAAATAAACTTTATTGTAATGTAAATTACTCAGTTTCTGAAAACTGTGATGACCCAAATGGCTAATCCATGTTCAACCTGTAAGAAACAAGAGATACAACACCCGGAGGAGAAGGCTCCAGGCTGGACCGTCCTGCACGTAGGCAGGCTATCGGGTCTCCTCCCTGGAACCAGCAATCCTGAATTCTTCTCTCTTGGGAAGAGACAAGCCCAAACAGCGTTCTGCACAAAATGAACCTCCTGACACACCTTCCCCGTCCCAGCCACATCCATGTATTCCATTTCCCCTGGCTCTGTCCTCAGACAAGATAACTAATGGGAGCCACTGCTCTGGGTGAGTCAGAGGTGAAGGGACCTTACTGAAAATGTCCAGTAGGAATGACCAGGACTCACGGTGAGACAGCCGAGCTAAAGGAGACATTAGAACAAGGTGAGGAAAAAATGCAATGGTGACACCGGTTTCAGGAAAAGGTCTCAGAAGACTTGTACAGAGAAGTCAGCATCTGCCCCTTAGGTTCCATCTGCTAAGGTAAATCAGTCTGAGTTGGAATGAGTGGAGGAGGACGTGGGGGGTGAAGGGTGAGGACTGATGGCCAGGACGCCTGAGTTTGCCCTGAACCCCATAAGCCTCTAACCCCACCGCTAGGAAGCTCCAGTTCTCTCCGGTATCTCAGCCCTCTGCCCCATCTCAGAGGCCCTGGGAAAAGAACAGAGTTGGGGAGGGAGTTAGGACAAGTTGGAGCAGAAGGGAAGAGGTCGAGTCTGGCCTTACCCTGGCTGCTCTGGACGAGTAGGGGTCTTCGAAGAGGGCCCACATGCGGGGCTGCAGCCTCCTCCAGCGGCCAGACTTGCCATCAGGGCCCCCCAGCCCCGCTGCGTCCTCAATGCCCAGCCTCTTGGCCGCCAGGTCCTCGTCGTCGTCAGCGCTGCCTCCGATGAGGTCGGGGGTCTCGAAAATGTCCAGGGCCTCCTCGGCGTCGCGGTGCTGCCGGTAGGTCATCCAGCAGCAGGGCTCCACGTCGGTCTCGTCGATGCCCCAGAAGGCCAGCTCCTCCTCAAAGAGCGGCCCGCACACGTCGGCGGGGCAGTGCAGCTTGCCGGTGCGGTAGTAGTTGAGCACGTAGGCGAAGACGCCCGGGTGCCGGTCAAAGAAGAACTCGCGGCCGCCCCCGGGGTGGTCGCCGCCGCCGCCACCGCCACCGTGGGAGCCGCAGTTGCCGGCGCCGCCCTCGAAGCAGCCGCCAGGGCCGGGGGACAGCGGGGGCGCCCGCCGCGGCGGCGACAGCGGAGGGGGCGACTGCTGCAGCTTGTCGCCCGTGGAGGTCAGGCAGTCGCCCTGGGGCTCGGAGGCGGCGAGAAGGGCCAGGCGTGTTCCGGGCAGGGTCTTGAGGGTGCTGCGGTAGGTTTCGTGCCGGGTGCCCCCGACGTTGAGGATCACCCTCTCGTTGCTCTGGATCTTGCCCATCTCTGTGGCTCAGACATGACTGGGGGGAGGTGAACAGCGCCCAGTTAAAGATCTCGGCCGTCAAGACACACCGTGACCCCGGCCGCCGCCCCAGCTCCAGAACTGGCAGATAGGCAAGGGGCAAAGGGCCCTCCCCAGGGTAGGTCAGAGTCCAGCCCTGTCCAGCCCCGTCCCGTCTCTCGCATCACACCTTTCCCGGGTTGCCAGAGAGCCAAAGATGTAGCAGCCCAAGTCTTTCTTGACCTGGGATAACACTGTTTTCCCGGCCTCACACCTTCCTTTTTGGGCTCTGATCTCTCCTCCTTCAGCTTTCCACCCTCCACCCTTCTGCCCCTCTGTCCCCTCTCAAATTTAAACTACTCACGTTCGCCAACCCCTTCCCTCGCTCCCCCAAACCCGCGTGTTTCCCTCCTAAGCCCGCTTTGTCCCCTACCTTGCCCCAGTCTCTCCTCCTCCCCTGATGGGTCTCTCTGTTCTACCTCCTGGACCCTCTGTCTCCCCCTCCCCTGGTCTGATTGCAGTTCCCTTAGCAGGGAGTTCTCTTCACCAAGGCAACTTGGCGGTCTGGTGGCCAGAGACACCAGGACCCGCAGACAGCCGGCCACGCGCTCATGCCCGGGTCAGCCCGCACACCTCGCTACTCCCTGGCACTCAGGGTGCCCTTTGCTCAACCTGTTCTTGGTTCACCTCTATTCTCCTTTTACAGACCGTGCAAAAAGAAGGAAGGCATAAATCAGAGAAAAAAGAAATTCCCTGCTGTGCCTTTCACCCAGGAGACCTCCGCCTATTTCCTCACCAATTTCCTTTCCACATTATTGTTATTGTTGTTGTTGGTATCATTAGGGTTATTATTACTTGGAAAAGGCAACAACAAACTAGGATCCATCTTTGAGAATAGAAGTGATCAGTGCATCCCACCCATCCCCCTTCCCAAGGAAAACAAATGCTTTTCGTGGTGGAGGGGCCGCTTTCCAGGAGGGGCGAGGCGGGGGGGAAGCTGCGGGGAGGCACACCCCCCTGGGCCCCCAGCTGCGAGTGTGGCTGGCGGTGCCCTGGTTTCCTGCCTCCCGGCCACCTTTCCCCGGCTTCATCTCTACATTCCTATTGCGGAAAGGCGGGGAGCTGCCTGTCTTCGGGGTCAGCGTGCCCTTCCCAGGAAATCACCCCTCTCCCCTTGTCCTCCCCCCATTACCTTAAGAAGACCGAGAGAAAAGTGGCTGTGCTTTTGGTGTCCAAGCGGACGATGTTCTCCGGGCAGCCGGACTGAATCTTGGCGCCCAGCTGAGCCACCCTTCTCCGACGAGAAACTACTTGTTGGTGTTTTCGGGGTTCAGGTGGTTGGGCCGCTTCTCCGGGCGCTGGGGTCGGGCAGACAGCCCCAGTCGGCCGCCGGCCGCGCTGCCCGCGTTCATTCTGCGAGCTGCGGGTTTGCGGGTCGCCAGCCTCCGCGCCCAGAGTCCCCATCGCGCAGGGTTGGGCAGACCATGGAGCTCGGGGCGGGTCCAGCCGGCGCTGCCCGACCCCACCGGGAGCGAGCAGAGCGCCTGGCCGCGGCTGGAGCCGAGACCGATGGGGGTCGGAGAGCTCTTCCCCTGAAGGTGAAGTCGCCCTGCCCCGATGCTATCTGCAGATTTTGTCTCTCTCTTGGAAGCAGCCACCCGGAGCTGTCCCTTCAACACCACTCGCCGTCACCCTCCCGCCGCCACCGAAGCACAGAGCTCAGGCAAGGGTGGGTGGGTGGGTCTGGAGACGCTCTGTTGTACCAACCAGGTTCACATATTTCTCTTCCGCGAAGCTCTGTCTCCACCCTCTCTGGAGCTTCGGCCTGCCTTATTTACACCCCACTCTCCACACCCCTCTCTCTCCTCACCCGTGCCCCACCCCTCCCAATAAATGAGAGAGAATGGAAGACCAATTGCGTTTCTTTCCTTGATGACAGCTGACCAGACAGAGCTTACAGGTGACAGTGAATACTGTTTGTTGTGTCTTATCCATGGCTGTGCCTTGCTTTTTGCAGTAAAATCTAGGTCTCCAGCCACCACATCATGAATATATAAAACCAAACAAGTTTTAAAAGTTTATTCTAGAAATATAATGCTTCAGAAAGTAAAACTTCAGATTTCTTTATCAGAAGCTAGAGAAGAATGGCATGTACGCAAGTATTGAAGTAATTGTCTAATAAGCCGATTTCTCGCTTTCTTAAGTTTTTATTGGACCTTGTATGAGTTTGCTTGAAGTGTCATAACAAAATATCACAAACTGGATGGCTTTAGCGGAAGAAATTTATAGTCTCAGAGTTCTGCTGGCCAGATGTCCAAAATTCAAAGCCTTGATAGGGTTGGGCTTCTTCTGAGGTCTGTGAAGAAAAAATACGTTCCAGGCTCCTCTTGTGGCTTGTAGATGACCAATTGTCTCCCTGTTTCTCTTCAGATCATTTTCTCTCCAAGTGTGTCTGCCTCTGTGCCCACATTTCCCCTTTTTATAAGGACATCAGATACATTAGTTTAGGCCCCACCTTAAATCAAGTTAACATGACCACACTGAAAGATGATCATTTTATCTTGATGGTTTCTATGAAGACTCTATCTCCAAGTAAGGTCATTCTGAGGTAGTGGAGGTTGGGATTCCAACCCATCTGGCTTTTATGTTGGGGAGGGGGCCTGATTCAACCTATACCAAGCCCCATCAGCCTGTATGTGTGTGTGTGTCTCTGTGTACATTCCAAGAAAGGAAGGAAAGAAGAAAAAAAGGAAGGAAGGAAATATGAAATAAATATTTCACAGGAACAATTTGCCAAAAAACTGAAGTCAGCCAAGTAGGAAAAACACCAAGGTGTATGTGGTAGGAGGTATCTTTGAAAAATAGATATTAATATTGAAACTGTGGTTCGGAAAGAGCAACATTTATGAGTTAAGAAGATTTTGGCAATATAGAGGACTGCAAGATGGGTAGTGAAATATAAAAATTCACTACATAAAATACCTGTTATGACATATTAAACAATTGAAGAAAATAAAGAACTGAAGTCTTTGGAAGGTCATTGATTATCTAGGAAATAAATGAATGAAAATACATTATGTATACATGTGTAAGATTACTGACAGTATGAAAAGAAATTTGCAATGACAATGTAAATAGCAACTATATGCACCCAACATTTGAATCACTAACACACACACACTCACACATACACACAAAGTATAAGGCTTAAACAAAAAAAGAATGAAATCCTGCCATTTGAAACAACACAGAGAGATCTGGAGAATATTATGTCCAGTGAAATAAGCCAAGCACAGAAAGAAAAATCTCTCATGTTCTCACATATATGTGGGAGATAAATATTAAAAATAATTGATCTCATAGAGATAGAGAGTGGAATAATGGTTACCAGAGGCTGGCAAGAGTGAGAAGTGAGTGAGTAGTGAGAAGAGGGTAATAATGTAGGGATAGTTAATGTGTACAAAAATATAGTTAGATAGTTAGATAAAATGAACAATATTTGATAGCACAAAAATGTGACAGTAATCAACAATAAGTCAGGGTGAACCTTAAAACAGCTACAAGAGTGGATGTGAAATGTTCTCAACACAAAAAAATGTTAAACGCCCGAGGGGATGGACGCCCCATCACCCTGATTTGATTAATTAACATTGTCTGCCTATATTAAAACATCACATGTACCCTATAAAGATGTACAACTATTAGGTAGTTATAATGATCAAAAAAGTTTAAAAATTTAATTTTTTAATTGTGAAGCTTGAATACCAAATAAGTTATTTTTGCTTTATACAATTTTCAATCACTGTAAAATTCTAAAACTAAAAATAATAATAAATTCCAATTGCCAGAAAAATTTCAGTGAAAAAGTATATTCGGTCAGGCATGGCTCATGAATGTAATCTCAGCATTTTGGGAGGCCAAGGAGGGAGGATTGCTTAAGGTCAGGATTCAAGACCAGCCTTAAGCTTAGCAAGACCCTGTGTCTACAATAAAAGGTAATAAATAAAAAGTCAGCTGAGCATGATGGTACATACCTGTAATATAAGCAACTTGAGAGGCTAAGGCTGGAGGATAGCTTTAGTCTAGAGAGGCTGAGGCTGGAGGATAGCTTGAGTCTAGGAGTTTGTGGCTGCAGAAAGATATGATCAATCAAACCACTGCATTTCCATCAGGACAATAGAGCAAGACCCTGCCTTCTGCCCTCAAAGAGAGAAAAATATAGAAAAAGAAAAGTATGTAAGTATATATACAAATTCTAAAATCTAAAATGCATTTTACTGTTTAGATGATTTCTTATATTATCTAATGCTATAAATTCAAAGAAAAAAGAGCATGTGGATTGTTTTCAAAAAAAACAATAGTAATAGAAGTATTTATAATAACATTTATTGAAATCATACTATATGCAAAATACTTTACATAAATTATCCCTTCTATTTAAATAAATAAAATATTTACATTCATTTACAAGACTATAGAAAGATATCTCTTACAGATGATGTGAATCAATGAAGAAAGCCTTTAGCTTCATAATATTAAGTTAAGTTCTGGAGGATCTATAGAGAAACCAAAGGGAAGGGAGAAAATGATGCAAAATTCTTACGGAAAAACAAAGGTCTATTGAATCAAGTTGTGTCTACATATGTATAAACGATTTAAAAATAATCACATTCACAGAATGATTATTTTTTTAGAGGAACTCGGATTTTGTGATTCATAATAGATTAGATGTGAACGTGTCAGGTAAGTTTGGAAAAAAGAATGTGGGAAGATCAAAGGATAAGATGTGCATGCCAGTGGAGAATTGAGGCACAAAGCAAGGAATGAAACTTGGTCTCTTTTATTATTTTCTGGCCACTATAAGAGGAGAAGATCTTAAGACAAATACCTGAGCTTTGTTATATAAGACAGGAGAGAACAGAAACCCCTCCAGCCAACTAACTCCACTGATACTGCTGTAAAAGTCAGGGAAAAGCAAGTGAAAAGCAAAGCTTTGAAAGATGGTGATGGAAAACCAAGAAGGAAAAACAATTATGGTTTCCTTTGTGTCTTGTGTGGAGCAAGGACTTAGAAAACTGTATGAACATTACTCCTTACAGAGAAGCAGCTGAAACTTTGCCTCTTTTATATTCTTGAGTCAGCATCACAGAAAGCTACGGAATGAGGCTGGATCTCATGAAACCACATGTATTTCTCAAAGCTTAGCATTTGAACAGGTTAACTCTTAAAATCTAAGATAAGGATTTTTAAATTATTTTTCATTATCAAAAGTAATATATTCATAAACAAAATTCTTCTGATTTTAAAAAGGGCAATGATTTCTCAACCCTCCCTGTAACTTTGCTCCTTTATAACTGTGACTTTGCAACTTTTCTCAAGACTGTTTCTCCAGGCCTTGAATCTGCACAGACTTGGTAACAGGTTTGGCCATGAGAATGTAGTGGAAGTGACAGGGTACCAGTTCCAAAGTTGACACGCTCCTGTGAGTTCTCTCTCTCTCTTCCTCCTCCTCTCTTGAAACTCTACCCCAGTGTCATGGAAATAAGTCTTAGCTAGTTGGCATCCTGATGAGCAACATACAGATCATCTACACACACACATGCACACATACACATTTCTTCAGTGCAATAAGAAACAGTATTAGAAACTAACTCAGAGAATGTTATTAAAGAGGATTATTCCTCAAACAAACAAAATACCTCATGATAATTACCATAACCCCCCAAACAGAACTGCCTTCCTCTTATTCATCTGTCCAGAACTGTCCAGCTGAACCCAGCCCAAATGCACTCACCCACAGAATGCTGAGTAACATAAAAGACTATATTTAAACTATCAAGTTTTGGAATGGTTTGTTGTGCAGGAACACATTACCGATTTTTCCTCTAAGCTTTCTTCATCTGAAAAGTAAAAAACATGCACCTACCTGCCTGCCCTCTTACCAGTAAGTAACACTTACATCACATACTGTGAATTCTAAAAGAAAACTAGTATCTGCTATACATTTTTTTCATTTCTCAAATTTTGAGAGGCATTAGTTTAATTCCATAAACTTTGGGGCAAGTAAAATTGAATCCATCCTCTGCATGTCCTTCAGTGGGTATCTGTCTGAAAAACGTTGCACAACTTCTTGAGCATCAATTTTCTATTCTAGAATGAATAGAAAACATTCTATTCTAGAATGAATTGATAACACTATAGTAACTATGGAGATTAAATGACATAAGACCTATAAGGAACTTTGGAAAATTTCTGACACATTTTAGGCTTATACTAATTGGTGTTTGTTTGGTTTTTTTATTAAATCATAGCTGTGTACATTAATTCAGTCATGGGGTACAGTGTGCTGGTTTTATATACAATTTGAAATACTTTCATCAAACTGGTTAACATAGCCTTCATGGCATCCTCTTAGTTATTGTGTTAAGACA